TAAAAAAAAGGAATTTGGAGGAGGCTGAGAGCAATAGAAGTGACTTGAGTTATTAATGCTTACTTGAACAGATTTTATTAAGAGGACCGCTTTAAGGTGTACCTTGCAGTACATTATCTGAGTATGTGAGGGCAGTACATATTTGCTTAGTGGACTGACCTTACGTAAGTGTCTCCCTAAGAAATATGAGTATACTGTAGATCTGCTTGTTACCTTGATGATCATTCACACAAGTGCTGAACGGCATCAGAACTATACAGACCATCATCTGTCACTTTCAGTTGTTACAACATTTGATAGCCTTCATTCTTATCTACAATTAATGGAGCTGTTATTCACATGCAGCGCAATGCAATGGTATTGCAGCCAAAATAGGAGACTATAAATACACAATTCTTTCCTGTTAAAGCATAAATAATAAACCTTGCACATATAGGCCTAATCAGTTGTAGGGTCTAAAAACAGCTACAAGCAGATCTCTGTTAAAGCAGAGTTCCACTCACTCTGTAAAAAAAAATAAAAGTCAGCAGCTACAAAAACTGTAGCTGCTGACTTTTTTAAAAAACAGCCACTCACCTGTCGCATGATCCCACGTTGCCCCGCAACAGCCGTTCTGTATTCCAGGCGCTGGCATCTTCAGTGTGGGCACCCGGCTGTGACAGCTTGCGGCTTCACAGCCGAGTGCCCACTGCACATGCGCGAGTAGCGCTGCACTTCCTGAAGGACCCCGTCGTCTTTTGGGACCTGTCAAGTGTCCCACAAGACTACAGAGAGGGAGGGAGGGGGGGGGGGACAACTTCTGCTTCTGATCGCCTAGGCGATCGCAGCAGAAGTGGGAGCGGGCACCTGTCAAATTTGGGTACCCGCTCCCCCCTGCTCCCCAAAGTTGCCAATCCTTAATGGGGAGCGGGGGACCAATCTTTAAAGCGGAACTTCCCCTTTTGGGTGGAACTCCGCTTTAATGGACACAAGATCATTAACATAAAATATATTTAATGTTGTCAAAAGGTACATTATTACATCTGATGTGGTCCTGCCTATTCAAGCCTATGTATTTTCACTGATTGAAACTCCTACACCCCTACCACTATTTTACTAGGGTACTATATGTTACCTCTCTAGAAGTCAAAACCTCCAAAAAGTCACTTATTAATACAGAGAAACAATGGATTCCTGATTATTAGAAAATAGATCTCCCTTTCCTTGATCTTATTAGTTAAGATGAGTTAATGAAATTCCTAAAATTAAAGAATCAATTCACATATAGTATACGCCAAGGGCACATTCATCATTATATTTCCACATGGTCTCTCTGACTTGATTTCTAATGCTCAGAGGAGTATGCATATTACTTACAGCTGAACGTTATGTATTCATGTTAACAGCGATGTATTCTATTCATAAATACAAAAACGGATTTTCCGGACTTAAAGAATAATTTCACCTTTGGAACATAATAATAATTGAATTTGTATTGTTTTTTCAAATGTTTCTATTATTTTTTATTAAATTTTTTCTTTTTTTTTACTATTTTATTTTTCAGCACACTGTGACCAAAGCAATACAATGTTACCATAGTAACACTGAACTACTCTGGGCAAGTGATCAAGATTTTTTTTTTTTGTTAACACATTATGATTGCTAATACCAATGTATTTCATTGATATTTGCAATCATTGTTACTGAATTAAACTGATTCATTCAGTCTTTTTGTTGTGATTAGCTGTGATTGGGCAAAACTGATCACATGATACAGATGGGCTGTGATTGGCCCTGTCTGTATCATGTGACTGCCTTGACCAGTCACAGCTAACAACATAATTGTATACAATGGATGGCATGACAGGAATCCATCCATTGTATACAATTGACATGTGATTGGTCACAGCTGTCACATGACACTGGCAACAGGCTGGTGGGGCGGGAAGGTGTTAAGGTATTATGGCTGTTCAATTGGTCTGATATGTATACATTTGATAGTGTATATAATGTTTGTTTATCAACTTTTATCTTTTCATATAGAAGTCTCCTTACAGCTCCTGAAGAAGTGATATTATCACGAAACATGCTGAGCTATTGCACTTACTACTATCAGAATATTTTCTCTTAACTTTTGCGGCGTTATGGTATTTTCTACTGTGGAACCTACTAGCAGTACATGAATCTGCACTGAGTATACATTGCTGTATGTTACAGGGGTAGTCCATACTCCGTAATAATTTTATAATTGTATGTATCATTTTACGTCTATGTATGCTTAATAACGTGATATTCTTTTATGAACCATTGTTGTAGTGCCTATAAAGTCCATAAGGGTCTATTTCTTCCCTTCCACAAGAGATATGTACAAGGATACGCTTTTAATTTGTTCCACACATAACCCTGACAACAAAGTTTGAGGTGAAGTTGTAGATATTTTGATTTCCTTCCTTTGCTTGTCACATCAGGGTATTTACATGATTCTTTGAATCTTTACTTCCATTCCACTATTGACACCTCGGTCTGATATATTGTAAGCAATTGTTTATTGTCATTTTGCTGCGCAATTTAATGACATTACATTGTTCATGCCTTCCAGATTTAAAGTGGTTCTAAAGGCTCAAGGTTTTTTACCTTCATGCATTCTATGCATGAAGATAAAAACCTGTGTACAGAAGCCCCCCTAGCCTGTTCTAATACTTACCTGAGCCCCCTCTTGATCCAGCGTTGTCCAGGAGAGCCTCAGCTCCCTGGGGATACTAACTCCTGATTGGCTTCATTGGCCGAGGCAGCAGCGGAGGCAATTGGCTGCTGTCAATCATAGCCAGTGAGACAATCAGGAGAGGGAAGGAGCAGGGCTGAGCTGCGTCTCTGTGTGTGAATGGACATACAGAGCTGCGGCTCGGGAGCGTGCCTGCTTGGGTGCCACCAGAGCAAGCAGCTTGCTCTGGGGGCACTCAGGAGGGAGGGGCCAGGAGCATCGGGACCCGAGAAGTAGAATGACCAGGCTGCTCTGTGCAAAATCACTGCACAGAGCAGGTAAGTATAATAGGTTTGTTATTTAAAACAAAAGAAAGACTTTAATATCACTTTAAATAAAGAATTTTTAAAAAGAAGTAGAAAATGTTCTCTCTCTCTCTGGTAAACACAAAAATGCCTATCAAAATGTATTCAAAACCATTGCAAATTCACCACCAGCATAAAAACTGTATGTGAAAACACTTAGGGTCATCTCACACCTGTGCACTGATGTAGATTTTAGCAGAGCTGTAAAACGAAGATCAATGGAAGGACATCTGAAAAACAATCATTTCTAATGTGTCTTATTCATAATCGTAACACTGTACATGCATGTCAATGGATGTCAGCTTGCGTTAAAACATGTCTAAAATGGATGGAAATGTACATGCATTTTCCATACATTTTAGAGCAATTCAGTGTGAATTGGCCCTTAAAGCCTATCTCCAGGAAAAGGAAACATGCTTCTCTTGCAGTGGGGCTGCTCGTTTAGGTCTAGGAGACTTGGAAAAGCTGGCCATAGACAGGTCAAAATTCGACCAGTTCAGCAGTGACTGGCCAAACTTCGATCAGTGTATGGCCATCCCCGATTGACAGAAATCAACTGATTGATCGACTTCTGTTGAGGGAAAATATTAAAAAACTTTCCATGATCAGTGGATGGGGAACTTCCACATCCACCTGGTTTGCGTGGAAGGTGGATGTTTAGTTTTTTTGTTAAGCCTGCTAGTGAGCTTTACCCAATCTTCTACTCCTGTGGCAGACAGCACTTTCCTCTGCTCCCCTATGTTCCAGCAGTGGACTGTCCCATGACATCCATGCACCCAGAACAGGACTATTGGCTCTGCATTGGACTTGATGACATCAGAGGACCTATGTAGTATGTTATATTAACTCCCAAATAATAATAACTCCACAGTCATTTTCATATATGTAATAATAACTCCCTTAGTTTTGAAGAAGCTAAATGACATAAAAGTTGAAAGTAAGAGCTTAAATTAATATGCCTTATCTGTTAATATATACGTAAGAGTGTTAACAGGTTTTAGTTATTGAAAGTTATCATTAATTATTTGGAGGATCAATTCTTTAAAGCGACAAATTCTTTAAAATGCCAAATTCCAAGTTATAAATGCACTCATTTGTTTAATAATAAACATTTAATTCAAAAATTGAATTTATTTTAGATAACTTACGCCTTTTTCTGTTTTTATGGGAGTTATTATTACATATATAAAAATGACTGGGGAGTTATTATTATTTGGGAGTTAATATAACATACTGCACCTACAGTAACCAGACCATAGGGAAGAAGAGGCTGTGGGACCAGCCTTAGAGCCTGAATTGAGCCTGTGGGAATAGAGGATTCAGTAAGTAAAACTGATTTTCATGGCCCCCTAGAAGAAAATGAGCATTTAACCCTTGTAGTGCAGGGGCAGCCCCACTGCAAGGCAGCATTTTTGCTTTCTCTGAAATTCAGCTTTAGCCCTGGTTCACACTGATGCGATGCGGAATTCACCACGTTTTCAGTGCAAATTCCATCACAATCGCACCCTGTTCATATGAACCTATGTGGGTGTGTATGTTAAGTTAACAACACCCTGACATCAGTCCGCAAAACCCGGTGCGATGTGCAGAATCGGATCGTATAGGTGTGAATACCTATGCAATCCGATTCTAGTGCGGACCAAAAAAGGGTCCTGCACGTTTTTGGTGCAGGTGCGGTGTGAATAGAGCCATACAAAATGTAATCGCTCCGCATACAAATCGCATGTGATTTGTACAGGAATGTGGTGCGGTTCCTGTGAAAATCACTTGGGATTTACTGCACCGCTGTATTGTAAACCTAGGCTTAAGGTTTAACCAGGAAATTCTACAAAAAGAAAATGGTTTTACTACAGGTATGAGCAAGAAAGAATCTGATTGGTTGATAGGCAGCCCCTCCCATCCATCTCAATAGGCCCCCAAAGAGAGTTGTAAATCACTGGTCTCCAACAAAAGGCATACATGGTCAGGGGCAGACTGACAACTCATGGGGCCTCCGGGCAATAGGTGATCATGGGGCCCCTGTGTCCTTGCCCACACTAAAAGCACACCCAAAAAAGCCTATAAAAGGTATCAGGGGCATTTCATGGGGCCCCCTACTGACCCCGGGCCCTCAGGCAGCGCCCGAGTGCTTGAATGGTCAGTCCGCCCCTGTACATGGTATACTAACACTTATGGAAAGTTATTCTTCCTGCTGGTAAAATATTAAGTTATTTTTGTTAACAGAGACGCAGAACTGAGAAATAGAAGTGCTTGCATAAGCTGAAAGTTACTGAAAAGACCACAATACTGTCCAACTAACACAAATTTGATTTCTAAACACCGAAATATAAAAGGAGTATAATTATAAACCAATTACCACAGCAGTCTTTGAAGGGAACACAGCGTTCTACCATTCAGAATCAGTTGACTTGCATTTCATTACTCTCATCATTTCTGCTCAGTATATAACGGTTACAGTGGTGATAATCTCAGCCTTTCTACTAATAACATGTATGCGTAGGTCATTCTGACTGTCACTCCAATTATTCCAGCCACCTTAACTCATTGGCATGCTTTTAATGTCTGCCATTTGAAGCATTCGCTCTTTGCAGCCATTTTGAGTTCAAGCAACACGTTCGACATAGATTCTCATCAAGTGAAGCGATTGTTGATTAAATCATAAGGACACTCAGTCCGTCTGCTTAGTCTTAGATTGTAACACAATAAATAAGACAAACAGGTCTGGAGCATCTGCTGTCACTGGTACATGAATAATCACTTGGCATATTATCCCTTTTACAGTTTACTTGAATTGCGCCTATTGTCCATGGATTGGAATACTGAAGGGTCATCCATGGCAATAAACGATTTAGGACACAGTGAATAAAGCTTTCTTTGTCCTCTAGGGCAGATTACTGCATTACATATGTAGCATATATGAGCTAGACTGTCACATAATGCTTTTTGTCTGAGGATGCTGTATTTGGTGAAAAATAACAGGCAAGACTGTACAAGTCAGCCGTCTCTGACCACATCAATGTACTTTATACAGTGAAGGCTTCATTGTGAAGAATTATACAGAGCAAAGTTTATCATTATGCAGACACCAAGTTCCAGAATGTGTTGCCTGTGCTTTAATTTAATGACTTAATTTCAGTGGCTGTCAGTTTGCATTTTGCTTCCATATACTGCTCACAAAGCACCCAATAATTTATTGGAAATTTCTGTGCAAGGCAGAAACACACATAATAAATCAGACACTTCACAAAAGAGTAGTGTTTGCTGGCATTATATGTAATACAAAATCCCCTGTAGAGCAGAAGGTAAAAGAATGATTCATGGCAATGGAATTGGGGTCTTTCTGGATGGTTCCAGACTAGACCTGAAGTTCATGTAACAACAGCATTTGTAAGTCCTCATAGCACAACTGTTCACATTCCAAGTGGTGCTACACCAGGGGCCAAGTGGAGCCATTGTTGGTGGAAGTGTCAATTATTAGATCTCAAATGTATAACCTAAATGTGCCACCAGCCCCTCCCACTTAGATTGTAAGCTCCAAGGAGCAGGGCCCACCTAACCCTCTTGTATTGAACTGTATCGTTGCTGTATTGTCTCCCTTTATATTGTAAAGCGCTGAGAAAACTGTTGGCGCTATATAAATCCTGTAAAATAATATAATAATAATGATTATAAATGCATGCGAAAGACAATTTTACAGACAGAGGTAGACAATTTCAAGAACATTTGGTTTTGGATAGAGTGAAGAGGAATTAAAACACCCATCAGGTTTGTATTGCTGTCTGTGCACCCAATAGGGAGATTCATCTTCTCTCTTTGTTCTGGTTACTGTTATCATTGAAAATAAAGGTGAAAATTAAAATTTTGGGTTGTCCCCAGAAAAGGAATAGAGTGTTGGAATACAGCATTCATGTATTTTGTGCAACAACTACATCAGTATTCAGTAGAGATATTTTCTTCAACCAGTAGATGGCAGTGTTTATAAGTTTGTAGCTGCATTTATGGTAAACTCTGTCTTTTCTCTGAATAAATTTTCTTGTTTCCTTGTTTTAGAGAATCAGAAAAGCACATATGCACTGTCTGTTCTGTAGGGCTATATACAGAATTTCTAACAAAGAGGAAATCTTCAGATGGGTTGGTAGCTCTGGGGACAATTAGCAATTCCCTCACATTGCAGGGGTTTCCTCTCACTTCTTATTTTGGTCTTTTTTTGGGAAATCTCCCCAATGGAACACAAATGGAAAAAAAAAACCAGGGGTCATAGCCCTCCCTTACTCTATTCAAAATGCAACTTTATGCAAATGCTTCTTTAAGGGTGCATTCATTCTTACAAATGCATCCTGCCTGCGATTACATGCGAGAACCCCAGTAGGGGTTCCCACCATTGTCTGTGAATTGGCAGCCCCATTGAAAACAATTAGAAGCTACTGACTTTCTAGCAAACTTTGCTGAAAAACAGGGATTTTTGGTTCACACACATTGCAATACATATTGCAAGATTGTATGTTTTTTTATTGCAAAGTTTGCCAGAAAGGGTATATAGCTATATGCAGAGGGTTTACCCAAAATTTCTAGTGTCAACATGCGGTCACACCCCTTTAGCACCTGATGGATTATATAAATGTACAAGCTATTGGGATTTGAGCACAGGTTTCACTTATTTCTATTGCATTGCAGGTCAGTGGCCAGACCTGAACCTTGTAGCTCTCCCCCAACTTGTGTCTATCTACTCCATAGGAGCACTACAGGTGAAACTCAAAAAATTAGAATATTGTGCAAAAGTTCATTCAGTGCATTGAGGCAGTAATTGCTGCAAAAGGGGCCCAAACCAAGTACTGAGTACATATGCATGCTTATACTTTTCAGAGGTCCGATATTGTTCTATGTACAATCCTTGTTTTATTGATTGCATGTAATATTCTAATTTTCTGAGATTGTGGATTTGGGGTTTTCATGAGCTGTAAGCCATAATCATCACAATTATGACAAATCACGGCTTGAACTATCTTGCTTTGCATGTAATGAGTCTATCTCATATATTACTTTCACTTTTTAAGTTGCATTACTGAAATAAATGAACTTTTGCACGATATTCTAATTTTTCGAGCTTCACATGTATATTCAATGTAGCATTTGCATTTTGAGGAGTAGAGTAGGGACTGGCAATAGAGGGATTACTTTGATGCAGATGGCCAGCTTAAACATGTATTGCAATATGTGTGAGCCAAAAATCCTTTTTCTTTTTTCATTGCGAAGTTTGCTAGAAAGAGTATATAGCAGTGTGCAGATGGTTTCTCCAGATTTTCTAGTATTATGATGCTGCAAGAGCCAGCATCCTCCCATTGCTTTCATGAAGGCTGCCTACTTGCAGCTACTGGTAGGAACCACTGCTGGGGTTCTCTCATGTAATCGCAGGCAGGGTGCATTCGTAGGTATGAATATGCGCTGAAGCAATTCTTCATGATTCAGCTATACAGCTTCTTATGTCATCTTTTTGTTGGACAAACAATTAAAGATCTATACAGATGCACTTCCCGATGAGCAGACTAGAGGTAGAAAAGTAACATAAGAAATTGCAAAGCTTAATCCAAAAATAAAGGGTATATCATGCGGTGAAGCTTTTGTGTTCACCACTTGGAACTCTTTCATTCTGCACAGTGCTGGTAGTATTTGGCACTCATCAGTGTTGATGAGAACAATTCAGCATATTAGGCATTAAAGGGACCCTGTTGTCAAATAAAATAAAGTGCAGTAAAAGCCCCCTGGAGATGAAGAAGAAAAATGCCTGTCTACGGTCCAGGACCCCATATCTCTGTTGTGAAAATATGACAGTTTCTGGTAATTGACACCAGAGGACCCCACCATGTGCTGTGGTTTCATCTGCTGGCCTCTAAATCAAAACTGTGTTCTGCAATGACGTAGGTGTTGGCAACTGGATGAGAGGTGACAGGAGTCCGAAACTCCCAAAAGTGTCAAATACCAATAGAGCAAAGATTTTAGTCACCACCTGCTGAACAGGTAAGTATTCTTTTGAGTTAAGATGTGCTGAAGTCCTGGTCTGTGGATGCCTACTATACTTTTACATAGGATGCTAAATGAATAGCAGTGCTACCAGGTGAGGACTGACAGCTCATGGGGTCCCCGGGCAATATGGAATCATGGGGCCCCTGTGTCCTTGACCACACTCAAATCACACCCAAAAAAGCCTATAGAAAGCTCCCAGGGGCATTTCATGGGGCCCCCTACTGACCCTGTGCCCTCAGGCAGTGCCCGAGCGCTCTAATGGTCAGTCCGTCCCTGAGTGCTACACACCACTCAGAGTATAATGCTTCAACAGGCTTTAACTTTTTAGACCTACAATCCCTATGTGCTGCTGAGAATCCAAGCACCAAATTTTCAGCACCAAAACCTTATAAAACATAGTTTGTTTAACTATGCAGTGTGTGAATTACAAGGTTGAAAATCTTATGGCCATTAAAAAAGTTTACAAATACAGTATTTATTTATTACAGGTACTTATAAAGCGCTGTCAATTTACGTAGCACTTTATATATATATATTTGTACATTCACATCAGTCCCTAACCCTCAATGAGTGTACGATCTAAGGTAGTATGCACATAAATGGGATATTTAGTTGTTTGTTTTTTTATTCTGTTTAATGCAGCATTCAATATCCACTTAGTCCAATGAATAAGAAAACAGACACAGGGGCTAGAAAACATATTCAAGCTAGATGTATTCTAAGGAGCACCATCCTAATATTTCCAGCTATAACAGCAAAAGGGGATCTTTTATAAAAAGACAGGGAAAATATGAATAATGCTAATACTGCATTTTTAGTTACAATACTGGCTTTTATCTACAACAGAGTGCTTATCGTACAAGCGACAGCCTTATACTGTATTGCCAGAACGATAGCACTGTGGAACAATGTGAACAATGCTTGTGATTAACCTCAACAGAAACTATTTAGTGTGTACAGACTCCTCAGCTCAGTTTCAGGGT